AGGAATGCCTTTCCCTGATATTTGCATGCAGTAGTAGCTGAAAAATATGTCTCATGAGTTACTTATTTAATAGTCTTATGAAAGTCTATGTAGCGTTTCTTTAGTCTTCATTGAGTTTAAGACAGCTATTTTAAAGTACACTTATTCAGTCTTCATAACATAATTTTGTGGAATATACAAAAAATGTTTAACTCTTTCCTCCCTATTGTAGCTATCTGAAATGACTGAAGTGAAGATCTTAACTCAAGCTATGATGTCCTGTCAACCAAAACAGCATGAATCAGAAGCAAAAAAAGGTAAAATATTGCATGGAGATCTGTGTCAGAATTGTATTTTCTGGATGGAAGCCAGCTGAACTTTGAAGAGATCTGGGCTGCATGTTGTTTTTTCTCATTAGCCAGTGCTTTGAGAGTTTGGCTTCCCTCTGTACCACAACTTGAGAGCAATATGAATCTTCCTGTTTATCACATAACACTCTAGAGAAAATGTAAAACTTGACCATAACTGAGTGGGAAGCCTCCACTGGTAGACTTGCTTGCATATATGTGTATACCAAGTAAAAACAAATCCTGAGCATAAAAAAATCTCTTCACACAAAATCCAGTTTTTGTATAAATTGCTTCTCTGTGTAGAAGTACAAGTTTGAGTTGCATCTTTTAGGCTGTTGCAGGGGTCAGACTATTGCATGCAACCAATTTAAGAATTTAGTAGTTTGGCTTCCTTTCCCTACTCTTACTACAGTGCTTCTGGAACGCTAATTTTCTGGTGGTTAGAAATCACTTAATTTCTTTTACGGTTAGTCCTGGACAGTTTGTCCTTACAAGCAAACCTTGTAAGGTTTGCTCCTTATGCTTTTCGTTTTGTACTGCCTGTAACTCAGTACTCATAAAATTGTGTTTTTGTCATGGTTTGGTATTTTAGACAAGTCAAACATTTACCCTTTTTTTTCATTAAGGGATTATCTCAAATTCCAAATGTATTCTCACAGTCGTCCACTGAACTGCTTCCTGCCTAATTCTTCATTCTTAAACATGTCACAGGAACTGCAACAGTGATCCAGGTTAGGTCATCAGTTCACTGAGACAATATTTTCTGTTACTGTCTTCCTGTAATGAGGCATCTTAAATCTCCATCTGTAATCTCCAGTCCTTAAGTAATCTCTGGAGACTTGTTTCTTCTGTTGCTCTTAATATTAAGAATTGAAAGAATTCTGTTAAGTTTTATTGAGCCTTTCATATTTTTCATCAGTCTGAGGTTACCGGCACCCAGATTCTTGAGCAGTAATTCTACACTGTGGTGTGTTACTGACTTGAAAATAAGTCTTCTGTGTGTCCCCTTTCAGGCTCGGGTTTGTTTCTTTTATTCTTGATCTAAATAGAATAATGTTCTGTTCTTTGGATGTAGCTTGGTGTTAGGCTTGTCAAGTTCTGTCTGTTTGGTGGTGGCTTTCTGATCCTTTCTCATTGAATCTGCTTGTGGTGTGTGGAGACTGTTGTGTTCTAGGAGATCTTAAATGGCTTCTCATCGGATCCTGGTCTCTTGTATAGCCATCACTTTGGATCTTTTTTAGAGGTTAATTGCTCGGTGATGCCTTCGTGGCTCTACTCCACATTTGTCCATAATGTCAATTTTACTCCAGCACTTGTTTTCAAAGGGCTTTTGTTTGCTAATTGTTGTAATCTTTTCTTTCAGAGGGATGCAACTTCAGAGGTCCTGAGAGGTCCTGTTGTTCAGCTACTACCTACAAAGAAGTACTTTTTTTTTTTTCTTTTCTTCCATTGCACTGTGAAATTTCTACTGGAACTCCATTTTTATCTCCAGCTGTACCTTAAGTTATAGACAATTCCATTTGATATCGGTTCAGTGGTAGTATGCTTTCAATTATCTGTCCCTACCCTTCTTAAGTGCTTTTTCCTGCTATCTCAGTCCCTTTCTTGCTTTCTCTTGGAATCATAGAATCATAAAATTGCTTGGGTTGGAAGGTACTTCCAAAGGTCATCTTGCATAGATCATAGAATCATAGAATAGTTTGGGTTGGAAGGTACCATCAAAGGTCATCTAGTACAACCCCCCTGCAGTGAGCAGGAACATCTTCAACTAGATCAGGTTGCTCAGAGCCCCGTCCAACCTGACCTGGAATGTTTCCGGGGAGGGGGCAGCTACCACCTCACTGGGCAACCTGTTCCAGTGGTTTACCACCGTCATTGTGAAAAATTCCTTCCTTATATCAAGTCAAAATCTGACCTCTTTTAGTTTAAAGCCATTACCCCTTGTCCTGTTGCAACAGGCACTGACAAAAAGTCTGTCCCCATCTTTCTTATAAGGCCCTTAGATACTGGAAGGCTGTAGTAAGATCTCCCCGGTGCCTTCTCTTCTCCAGGCTGAACCCCAATTCTGTGACCCTTTCTTCACAGGAGAGATGTTCCATGCCTCTGATCATTTTGGTGGCCCTCTCCCATTTCTGGACCCTCTCCCAACAGGTCCATGTCTTTCCTGTGCTGAAGGCTACAGAGCTGGACGCAGTACTCCAGATGGGGTCTCACCAGAGTGAAGTAGAGGGGCAGAAACGCCTCCTTCAACCTGCTGGCCACACTGCTTTTGATGCAGCCCAGGATGCAGTTGGCCTCCGGGGCTGCGAGTACCCATTGCCAGCTCATGTCCAGCTTTTCATCCACCAGTACTTCCAAGTCCTTGCTGGCAGGGCTGCTCTCGATCCCTTCATCCCCCAGCTTGTACTGATACCGGGAGTTTCCCTGACCCAGGTGGAGAACCCTGCACTTGGCCTTGTTGAACCTCATGAGGTTCACAAGGGCCCATTCCTCGAGCTTGTCCAGGTCCCTTTGGATGGCATCCGGTCCCTCAGGCATGTCACAGCTTGGAGTCATCTGCAGACTTGCTGAGGTACACTTGATCCTGCTGTGTGTCATTGATGAAGATATTAAACATTACTGGTCCCAATTCGGACCCCTGAGGGACACCACTCGTCACCGGTCTCCATCTGGATGTTGAGCTGTTGACCACTACCCTCTGGATGTGAACATCCAAACAATTCCTCATCCACTGAACAGTCGAGCCGTCAAATCCGTATCTCTCCAATTTTGAGAGAAAAATGTTGTGGGGGACTGTGTCAAAGCCTTACAGAAGCAGTCATCTTCACGTGTTTTTAAACAAGGGGGAAAAAAAACAAGCCGTAAGTTTTCAAGTATGGTCATGTTCTTTAAACTATTCTTTCTAAAGTTATCTTCATGCCCTCACATAGGTTCATCAGTTATTACAATCACTTGTGGTCAAGGGCAGGAAAAAATCCCATTCATAGTTGACTTTGTGGCCTCTCTAGTCAACAGCCTACAGCCTGAGCAGCAAAAACTGTAGTCAGTCAAGTGACTGTGTAACAGTCTTACAGGAGGTCCATTATTCCTAAAGGAACAAACTTTGTCATCAAGGACCAGCAACAAAGTTTGTCCTTTCTTTGCCTAATTCCTTTCCTCTTGTTTCTGCTCTTGTTTAAGAATATCAGCTTAAAATAGGACATGGGTAGACATAGCTGAGGCTGTCCTAGAGGAGAGATGCTACGGTAGAGATAGGTACAAACTGAAATGGTAACATGCACATTCTAAGCAGAGCCCCTGACTCCTGTTGATTCAGTGTAAAAGCCTCAAAAACAATTTCATTCGTATTAATCAGTTTGCCAGTTTACATGCAGCAGATCTCATAATTACTTTTACCTGTTGAACGACATCAACTTGAGATCTCCAAGAAAAGAGACACTCAGTTTTTGTTACCTGTCACGTAGAAACATGTGCCACTTTGGTATGAGCTATAAACAGATTTTCTTTTAGGGTTTCAAGACCAGTTTGTGGTGTGTCTGTTAATTAGAACAAGATATATGGAGCCTGTCTGTAGTATAAGGCTGAGCGTACCTTTTTGTGTTCTTTTGTATTAAAACAACAAAGCCTTATTAGCTTTGAATAGTCCTCAATATTTAGTAAGTCAATTAGATAGAGTGAAATGCACTGTAATTTACTACAAATTGTCCTGATGCAAGGTCAGAGTTAAATTACTGCTGGTTTTAATACTGATTTTTATATTCCACATGCAGCATTTCCACCCTTCTGCAAGAGACAAAAACAGTTCTCCGAATTCCCAACCTTAATGCCTTAAGTAACAATGTTGAATTTAATAATTTTGTATATTCACAGAAAGGATCAAATACAGCAGAGATTTCCTTCTGAAACTTTCAAGTGTTTCTCTCTCTCAGAAGAAGCCAGAGTTTCTTCCTGATCATCCAATTGTACTTGAAAAGCCAGTAAGTGCATTTTTTGTATTAAGTGAAGTTTCAAAAACAGTCATGGAGACTTTGACACCCTATTTGATAGGAAACATTTTTCTTCAGGCTAGTCTGCCAAATAGATAAAATCTTCAAAAGACATATTCTGCAGTTCAGCTCTGTTACTTTTGTACATAACTTCCTCAGTCGGTGTTTGGCATGAAATTTTAATATGAAATCATATTAAAGGTTTCTACTATGAAATCACAGTACATAGTTTTAGTATTCGATGTGAATTCCATCTCTTGTCTTTTCCAAATAAAAGAGAACAATCTTGATGATACATTTCTGGCTTGGTGAAAGTCTGATTCCAGTTTTTAAGTTGTCCATGCATCAGTGTCCACTACGAAACTATTAATGAGCTTCTCCTATCTTGGAGAAGTATGTCCAGATGACTGCTGTGTTGGCCACAATTTGAGGCAGTTTTAAACTTTTTATATTTCTATTCTTTGGAGAACAAAGTTAAACTAATATATGACAGTAATCAGCCTTCCATGATCTTACTTTTTAGACCTTTCTGTTATATTTGTCCTCAAGATTTACTTGATTTGAAAGCTTTACTTGTTTGAAAACCTGCCTGCAGATAGGAAAATTTCAACTCTTGAATTTCCCGACTTTTTTCCCCCTCTTCCTGTTGCTTGAGTTTCTAAGGGGGGCAAATTTTGATAATATACGCACTTTCACATCATTAATGTTCATAGGTAAGGGATGGCCCCCACAGAAATGGAATCAGTGGACAAATGAGCTCTAAAATTGCTCATGACATGGCTAAATTGCAAATAATTTGGGTGGAGGGAAAGAAGTATGGTGAAAACTGGTGCAAGCCAAGATGCATTGGATGTGTTTTAAGAAGTTGTTTTGCGTCTGAAGAATCTATGTCTGTAGGATGATGTCATAAATGTATCCAGTTATATATAGTCTTGTCTTTAGAAATAAGAGTATCTCATTGTTTGTGAGGCCTGCTCTTAAAGTCTTTCCTCTGCTTTGCGTTAGTCATATGCCCACCTGCATATGCTAGTTTATCCTACAGATAAAAAAGCTTTTTAGAGATAAAAAGAGTTTTCTGATTCTATTCAGCTGCAAAAGGGGATGGGTAAATTACAAACCCTTACTAGTAAGGATGTTGTGTAAGAGTAGGATAAAGTGTATCACTTAGCTATCGTTATTGGTGTCTTAAGCACAAAGTATGGATGGTTGAGTTGGAAGCTAAAGGAAAAAAATAATCCTGTTCTCGTTAAAAGAAAGCAAAAGTGGTGAATTTGCTGTGTGATCTTGGAGACAGTTTTGAAAAGGGTATTGCAACTGCACTGGTCTCATTAGTATATACAGGTGATATTATTAGCTTTCCAGTCATACTTCAGAAGTTAGTTCCACATTGTAAGTATGAAACTTGGTCAGTGATGGTCTGTATTTTTTTTCTGAGGTGACTAGAATAAATGTTCTTATGTTAATATAGGATAAAACTATCCACTGTTGTATTCTGGTTTTTAATTTTAGTATAGACACTGAATTTTTAGTAATTTGGGCTTTTGTTGGAGGCGTATTAATATGAGTTAAACATACACGTTCTTTGGATGTGCACTGTCTTACTGTGTCACTTTCTATAAGAAGATTGAAGCCCTTGCAGATGTTAAGTTTGTCTTTATGGGAATCCAAATATAAGAATCTGTGAATAGAATAGAA